CACGCCCCTCTCGCCGGAATCGCGGAGAGCGCGGCCGATACGGGGCACGCTGCGGGACTACAGCCCGATCGAGGCGTCGCGCCCGAGGACCGGCACCGTGCAGCCCAACCTGCGCATGCAGACGCTGCGCGGCGAGCGGCCCTCTACGCCCGACATGGATTCGCAGGCCACCCTCAGAAAGTTCAACGAAGAAAACGTCAAGCGGTACGCACACGACACGACACGACACGACCAACGGCACGACACGACCAACGGCACTCAATTAATTGATGATTGGTCGGTGGTTGCATGGTAATCAAACAGGGTGCTGGTGATGTACGACTTTGACGGCGGCGGAGACCCGAAGAAGCTGCGGATCCAGCGAGGGGCGGTGATCACGGTGCTCAAGGAGTACTCGGGCTGGGGCATGGGCGAGCTCAACGGCAAGCAGGGCCTCTACCCGCTCAACTACGTCAAGCCCATCGAGTGAGGAATTCCCCCCCAACCAGCCAGCCAGGTTGCCTCCCCTGTGGGCACTCCTCCAGTGCATTCCACCCAACACAAACGAAAAACATCTCCATTTATGGATCTTTTGTGGTCATCAAGCAGGCCAGGCAGCTGGTCTGTCCTTCCATTGCAAGACAGCACATAAGCTGCAGGCATGATGTGGTTTGGTGGCGGGAGGGCTGCAGCATGGCTGGTTCCATCTCACTCAGTCTAGTGGTGTGGGAGCAATCTTGGTTAGATATCAGAACAACACAGAGAAGAAGAGCTCTTAGGTGCATACCACCTCGCAGACGAAGAACAAGGTCGATGACGGCGTGCTTCTGGATGTTGTAGTCGGCCAGGGTGCGGCCATCCTCCAGCTGCTTGCCTGCAGATATGAACCGCTGCTGGTCTGGTGGTAAGCCTGCATTTACTTGAATATTAGTATTTTTATTCGTAAAATATAAATGAATGGCACATAATGCTAATATTGCATAATTAAAGAATAATGGTAATAATGATTGTTATCTATATTTTATAAATATTTATATTATTATGTACCGGTCTTGTATTGGATGAGGTTCTTGACATCTTCGACGGTCAACGAGGGCACCACGTCGAGGGGAAAGAAGGTGCGCCCCTTGAGTACCACCGTATTGGTCTTGTCCTGGAGCTTCTCCACCTTGCGCTCATCGAAGAGGTGCTTCGCCTCCTCATACAGGGCCTTATCCACCTCGTAGGCACTGCTCTGTGACAGCGCCACTACAAAGATCAGCATCCTCTGCCTTTCCTTCTCCTCTTGCTTCTTTGTGGTGTGGCCTTCTTTTGTTTGTTCTTTGTGGGTATTGCCAGACAGCAAACTGAAGCGGGGGAGCGATTCTGGCTGTGGTTGTCCGGGTTACAGTCCTTGCACTCTCAATGGGGAAAGACCCCGTGGTGTGTGCCCCAAGACCACATTTAATTGAAAAGTTGTCTCTGATCGATGCGTGTCGTGCGGTGTCGACACCAAAGTGTCACTTTTGGGTTTGTGGCGTCGCTGCTGGCGTGGGCGCTGGCATGGCACGGCCTCCACGCCCCTTCATAAAGGGCTCCTCCATTCCTTCGTTCTCACCATCAACTTCATCAACAAGCAACCAGCACCACTACTACACAAACCAAGATGGGCCACAAGCAGATGCAGGGTACCAGCGACAAGGGCAAGAAGAACGATCGCTACGCGGGCGAGATGAAGCACAACAGGCGCACGGCCGGGGCAAGCTCGTCTACAGCGCCAAGGACAAGGAGGGCCGGGCCATGTACGAGGCCACTTCTTGCGGTCCACAAGCAGGGCGAGGGCATCATGACGTGGACCGACGGGCGCGTCTACATGGGCGGCTGGGTGGCCGACGACATCGAGGGCAA